GGTGAAGTCTTTTGATGAACATAGGTGTTTGATTTTTAGTAGCTCCCAGTTATCCAGGTTCTCTTCTGGTGTTTCTGCATTTTACTTATGGTTCGTATTCTGTTTATGCCACTTATTAGGGCTCCTAGTGTTGTCCCTATTTTTTTTTCCATGATCTTTATTGTTTTCGATTTTATATTTAGGTCTTTGATCCATGTTGAGTTAGTTTTTGTGCATGGTGTGAGTGAGGTATGGGTCTTGTTTCAGTTTTTTGCAGATGGATATCCAGTTATGCCACTACCATTTTTTAAAGAGACTGTCTTTTCCCCAATTAACAGGCTTTGGGCCTTTGTCAAATAGCTGCTCATAGGTGGATGAATTTATGTCTGGATTCCCAATTCTGTTCCATTGGTCTACGTATCTGTTGTTGTACCAGTACCAGGCTGTTTCGACTACTGTGGTGGTATAATAGGTTCTAAAATCAGATAGTGTGAGGCCTCCCGCTTTGTTTCTCTTGAGTAATGCTTTACTTACCCAGAGCCTCTTTCCTTTCCATATAAAGTTGGTGATTCGTTTCTCCATCTCATTAAAAAACGCCATTGGAATTTGGATTGGGATTGCATTGTATCTGTAGATCACTTTAGGTAGAATTGACATTTCCACAATGTTAAGTCTTCCTATCCGTGAGCAAGGTATGTTTTTCCACTTACGCAGATCTCTTTTGGTTTCTTGCAGTAGTGTCTTGTAGTTTTCATTATGTAGGTCTTTTACATCTTTGGTTAGATTTCTTCCTAAGTATTTTAACTTCTTGGGGGCTATTGTAAATGATATTGATTTCGTGATTTCCTCTTGGAAATCTTCGTTGGTGTAGAGGAATCCAACTGATTTTTGTATGTTTATCTAGTATCCTGATACTTTGCTGAAATCTTCTATTAGTTCCAGTAGTTTTCTTGTTGATTCTTTGGGGTTTTCTGTGTATAAGATCATATTATCTGCAAATAGAGATACTTTGACTTCTTCCTTATCAGTTTGGATGCCCTTTATTTCTTTTTCTAACCTAATTGCTCTGGCTAGGACCTCCAGCGTAATGTTGAATAAGCGTGGTGATAAAGGGCATCCTTGTCAGGTTCCCATTCTCAAGGGGAGTGCTTTCAGACTCTCTCCATTTAGGATGATGCTGGCTATTGGCTTTGTATAAATGCCCTTAATTATATTCAGGAATTTCCCTTCTATTCCTATTTTGTTGAGAGTTTTTATCATGAATGGGTATTGGACTTTGTCAAATGCCTTTTCTGCATCGATTGATAAGATCATGTGATTCTTGTCTTTTGTTTTATTAAAGTGATGGATTATATTGATTGTTTTTCTAATGTTGAACCATCCTTGCATACCTGGCATAAATTCCACTTGATCATGGAGAATTATTTTTTTGATACGTTGCTGAATTCTATTGGCTAGAATTTTGTGGAGCATTTTTGCATCTATGCTCACGAGGTGTATTGGTCTGTAATTTTCTTTTTTTGTGGTGTCTTTACCTGGTTTTGGTATCAGGGTTATGCTGGCTTCATAGAATGAGTTTGGGAGTATTCCATC